CCGGGGCTTCTCTGCCCCTTCTGCTGAGGCCTTGATGACCCCTCAGTGAGGCCCGGACTCCCAGCTGCCTTGAGTAGGTAAGAGACCCTGCAGATAGCCCCTACTCTAGGAGGCCTGGCTTCTCCAACAGACCTGGAGACCCGCCTGCCTTTCCACAAGGCTTTCTCCCTCCCTCGGGCTGGATCCGGGGTAGCCCTGTTCAGCCTTTGCTTCCACCCGCCAGGTTGCCACCTCCTGGCCCCGTGGACGTACCAGGACCCCAGCTTCCAGAGGCCAGGTCTTCCCCAGCCCTGCCTGCTGCCACCCTGGCACCTCTAAGGCCAGCAGGCTGCAAGGGTCCCTAGCTACCAAAGGACTGGCCCCCACCTGATCTGCCCAGTGCTTCCCCAGAGGCCAGTGGGCATCCCTGAGCCCAGCCCCTTCTGGGTGTTGCCAGCTTGGAGCTTTCTTGTAGACCTGTGAATGAACGCTATCCCATCTGGAGTTAGCTGAGACTTCTCCCCTGGTCTCCTGAGCACTTAACAGCCCCAATTCCCTGACAACCTGGTTTCCAGCATTCCTGGAACTGGTGGGGAGGTCCCTGCCAGCTCAGCGGGTGCCACTCTACACACTAGTTTGCTTTCCTTGAAATCCCAGCAGGAAGCCTCATTCCTTGTGGCACCCGGCCCCACTGTCTCATGTGGACCCTAAACCTCCAGCCGGCCCAACCCTGCAGAGGAGGTGCCCAAAGGCATCTGCAGAGGTTCCTCTCATGCTGTTCTCCCCCCAGGGCCCCTTCTGGAGCCTGGTACCACAGATCTCAACCGGGGGCAGTCACAGCTCGGTCTCCCTTCCTCCTCATCCCCTCATGGGGGCTCTGTCCAGCAAGGCCCCTGACTGCCAAGGAACCCGCACCCACAGTTCCCTCCTTTCTGAATGCTGATCCTTCCACAGCCTGGATGCTTGAGCCCTGGGCAGAGGGGTTAACCACCCCAGGACTGTCTTCGCAAGCAGAGAGGCTACTTGCCACCAGGCCCTGACTCCTCAGGCTGAGCTGAGCAGCAGGCGTGTCACCAAGGCCCCCTGGGCAGAAGGGGCTCAGCCCTGAGGACCCAGCACTCCCCACACCTGCATGTTCCTGCTGGGCATCCACCCTGCAGACCCAGCTTTCCCCCTGCCCCCAGCTGCTGGCAGCCCCATTCCTTGTGGGCCGGGCACCACAAGGAATGAGGGTCCCTGAGGCCACACCAGGAAGCAGCCAGCAGCTGGGAGGAGCAAACTGCTGTTTCTGCATCTTTTTTCAGGAGCTCACTTGGGTGGGAGGGGCTACAGACTCCAGGGATCCTGCAGGCCACGCCCCCCACTCCCTGGCTGACTGAGCTTTCTTCTCAGGCGTCTGACTGGAGCCTGGGACCGACCTGTCACAGAGGCAGGTCTGAGTAGTCCAGGCCTGTTCCTGCTCTCCAGCAGGGCCCCTCCCATTCATTTGTGCAGCTGGCTTTGCCCAAAGCACAAGTGAAGTCTGTGTGGACTGTGTCCCTTGTCCCCAGGGGGAGTGTGGCTCCAGTCCTGGCCTGGAACTCGGATGCCTTAGAACTAGAGGCCACATCTGGCAAAGTGGAGCAGCGTGGTCTGCCCACGGCCAGGGCAGGTACCACGCTGGCAGCCCCAGACCTGACACCATGGCTCCCGTGTCCCCTCTCCACTTCCGTCCAACACATCACTTACACTACGTGCTGCCCCTGATGAATCCGGACTGTCAGCTTCCCCAGCTTAGCTCCGAGAAGTCCCACAGACCCTAAGGAGAACAATGCCTCCTGAGCTGGGGGCTACGTGGGAATGGCCTGGTGTGGGGTGGGGGAGGTTGGGGTGAGGCAGGTGCCCAGTGCCTCTCTGTTTAGCTTCCTTTCTCCTTTGCCCACAAAGGAAGCATCTTCTCCATGTCCCTCTGCCACCCCGAGGACATAAAATACTTCCCCAGGTCTGTCTGCCCTTGGACACAGCCCACCTACCTTCCTGTGGGACTCAGGGCCTTGTTTTGTCCTGTGGCCCACATGAGAAGCAATTATCCCTACTCTGCTCAGCTGAGAGAGGCAAACTGAGGCAGAGCAGGGGAACAACTCTGTTGTAGTCTGGATGTTAATGGCAGAGTCAAAAGCAGCCCTTCCCCGAGTGCTCAGGTCCAGTGGACACCAAGCATGGAGGCTCTGTCAGTCGGTTTTGCATTGCTCCCGAGGAATACCTGAGACTAGGTCATTTCTTTCTTTCTTCCAAGGGGTTGGCAGGGCCACCAGGCTGAGGGTTGGAACCCCGTCTCCTAGTCCCAGCCTGGGTCTCCATCACTGGCTGACCGACTCTGCTTCCCACGTTCTCTCCACACCCACCCCCTGCAGCCCAGGGTTCAGTCTGGGTGCAGGCCTGGGGAAGGTCCAGGAGCAGATTCTGCCCCCCCAGCTCTTACCTCCTGTGCACCAAGGCAGCCAAAATGCAGCAGCAGAACCAGGAGCGCTGGCTTGTCCCTGTATCCCAGTGTTTTGGAAGGCTGAGGTGGAAAGATCACTTGAGACCAGCCTGTGCAACATAGCAAGACCCTGTCTCTACAGATGATCAAATTGGGCATGGTGGCATGCAGCTGCCTGTAGTCCCAGCTACTCAGGAGGCTGAGGTGGGAGGACCGCATGAACCCAGGAGGTCAAGGCTGCAGTGAGCTATGATTGCACCACTGCACTCCAGCCTGGGTAACAGAGCAAGACCCTGTCTCTAAAACAAGAAACAAAGTGCACCGTGTGTGGAATCCAGCTTCTGGCGTGTGGACCTGACCTCACTCGGTCCCATCAGTGAGTGGAAGGCTGCCTGCTGTCTTTCAGAACATTCCCACCACCTGTGTCCCTCCTGTGTTCCCTGGCAGGCTTTGTGAGGGGGCCTGTCACCTACCCCTCTGGCTTCCCTAAGGCACAGCTCAAACCTTCCCTGCCACTGAGAACCTTTTCCTGAAGAGTCTTTTTCCAAACCCCACTCGCAGGCCCCCCTCCTTTCAGAGCTTTTGGTGGGAGTACAAGAATCGAGTCACTGCTACCAGCTGGGAGGAATTGTCCCTACGGTTGGGTCTCTGGTTGGCATGTGAGGATCTAGACCAGGACCTAGATGCCTGTAACCTGAAGGGCAAGGGCCTTGGCTGCCCGGGCTTCACACTGGGAATGCTCCTTTCCCTGCCTTACCTACTTTGAGTCCAAAGGTAGTAATGCCGACATTCCCTCATGAGTCGGGGAAAGACTGAGACTATCGTAGGGTTGCCTGGCCCAGAGTCACCATAGCCAGGCAGAGCTCAGATCCTGGCCCTGTTCAAGGCTTTCCCAAAGTCCTTCTAGCTCTGGTACCTGGGTTCTTCCTCACCCAACTGCAGCTCCTCTGACCCTTCTACCAGGTGACAGAGAACTTGGCCAGCTGTGACTTATAGAAAATTTCACTTTCCTTCTGGTGAAGGATGAGAACCAGCTTAGGGCGGGAGGGAAGAGGGGTCTGGGGGCCCTCCCAGCCCTGCCTCTGGCGTTTGAAGGATAGTGACTGGGCAGCAGCATGGTTTGGGCTGGACAAGGTGGCCCCTAGGTGTATAGACTGGCCTCAGACAGCTGCTGCCATGTCACCTCCTCCTCTGCACATCCTGACCTGGCATCTCACCTAGTTAAAGGTCCACAGGCCTCCTGCCCCCGGGCATTTCCCCCACGCCCTGCCCAGGCACAGCTGTCCTTGTCCTGGGCTCATCTTCAGAGATTCTTGTCCAACACACAGCTTTGCTGGATGTCACAGGCTGGGCCGGGCCCCCTGCCCTGCACTGACATCTGTTTGTGACTCTCAACTAGACTGAGCTGCAGCTTCAGGGTCAGGACAGGCTCTGACCTAATTGATATGACCCAGGACAAGGAGGTTTCTTGATGATGTCACGTCTGCTTAAGTTCTTGGCCTGTATGGTCTCTTTGGGGCACGATGCCCCTCTGTGCCATGCTTAGGTGCCCACATGTGGCCACAAGTGCCTTTCCTTCCACCATCCCTCCTTTAGGCTGGTGTCCAGGCACCTGTGGCTCCAGGCAGAAGCGTGAGTGCAGAGCCAGGCCTGGGCGGATGTTCTGCAGGTGCTGCAGGAGCTGCCAGCCTTGGCCACGCAGCCCACGGCCGGCCGGCCATTCCTCTTCACTGTGGCTGGCCCCCAGTCCACCATGCTTCCAGGGCAAGGCCTGGAACCAAACTGACTTTTGTCTGCCCCTGGTTTCCCTCGTGCCTGCCAGGTTCTTGGCTGAGCATGATGGTCTTGCCCATTTCCTTGATTACCCACAATAAGGTTTATAGAGCATCTTGGGAAGAGCACATCGGTCTACCAGGTTCTCACCAGAGACAGGACTGCCTTGGGCCTGTTGGGACCCAGATTCAGTGGCTTCCATGTACGCAATGGGCTGATAGGCAGCTGTCACTTCTCTGCTTGGGGGAGGCAGGAGAGGAAGGTCAGGCAGGAGATCTGCTTGGCGCCCACCTGTGCCTGTCTCACCTGGCTGCAGGTGCATCGGAGGCTGAACCCCTTTCTTGATCTGCAGGTGCATCGGAGGCTGAACCCCTTTCTTGATCTGCAGGTGTGGATTTCAGTTTTCCAATGGGTGTCAGGGTGCGCTCCAGTGCTCTCCTGGCCCTAGGGAACCCTAGGCTCCATGAGGCCTCAGCCTAGGCAGGATTGTTTCCCACACTGTCATCTCCCTCTTCAAACATAGGGCTGCATGCTTTGGTACATTTAAAGGTTGAAAAGCAAAAGCCAGTGCCTCCTCTCTCCCGGAGTGGGTGGCCCCTCCCCTCTCTCGAGTGGGCGGGGACAGGAGTTGCAGGGGCAGCTTTCCTTGGGATGCCACAGGTCTCTGGAGCTGCCTGGCCACGCCTCCTTTCCCTTTCATCTTTCTCATGACCAATGGGATTGGAGCGTGAAGGCCACGCCTCCATTCTACATTCTAGTGTGGCTCTGGTTACGCCTCCTCTGGTTCAGACACACAGCTGCCTGGTAAAGGAGTGGAGCTGCTTACCACTGCTCCCTTAAATTGTGCTGATGTGGCCCCAACCCCACCTCCCTCCCCCACCCACCATGGCGATGTCAGAAGAAGTTTGCAAGATGAAATTAGCCTCGGCTAGGAAAATGGTAACATGCACACAGATCCCCTCCGATGGCAAGACCGCTGCCAGAGTCCATAACCCTTCTGGGACACACCAGACTGGGTGGGCCCCCAAACCCAGTGCCTCTGGGCTCCCCCTACCGACGTCTTTTCAGTGAGTCCCACCCCTTCAGCAAGGAGCCCAGCCCCTGCGCTTGCCAATCACCCCAGGGTGACTTTGGATGTGTAACTCCTGAGGCTCCCCGCTCCCTACTTGGACCTCACCTTTTCCTGCCCCAAGCCTGACTTCCCTGGTCTCTGTGGGTTCATGTCTCTAAGGACCTGGGTCTCCCAGTCCCCACCCTCATCAGTCATTTCTGGGTGACTTTGGGCTGGTGACTCCTGGGAATCCCTGCTGCAGACTCTGCCCTCCCCTCCTGCTCCCCCAGGGCGACCTCCCTGTGCTCTTTGGGATGGCATCTCCAAGGACCTGGGTCCCAGCCCTGCATCCCCCTCCCCCATCAGGGAGCAGTGACTCAGGCATCTCCTTGATGTGGTCCCCTCCCCCAGGAGGAGTGGAATGTAGTGATGTCACAGCCCCCCTAGAAACTGTCATTAACTGCTACAAGACCAGCCTTTGATATTAGGACCTAGTCCCCTAAGCATTCTCATAGCCTTTCTGGCTCCTCTGGTCCCAGCACAAATTTCCAGCTGGTTGGGGAATGCGGACTATGGGACCTAGGAGCAAGAGGTTTCAGGCTGCCCCACTTTTTTTAACATAGACATTGACAGTGTGAAAAGCCTACACTTACCTTGTGACCTCAAAACGTTGACAGTGTTTCTGGGTGCAATGGGAGAATGGGTTTGGTTTGGTTTTCTCTCAGGCTTCTAATCTCCAGAGAGACTTTTATATTTCTTTCTGAGTTCTCCATCTCATCTTCAAATTCTCCATGGTTCTGGGACCAGACTGCCCTTCAGTCAGTGGGCTCTGGAGTGAGATCTGCTCATCTTATGTGGAACAGATCTTGGGAAATTGAAATTGACAGCTTGAATCTTCCTCATATCATCTCAACTGAGGCTACTTTGAATGCCATGGGATAAACATGGGACATCTTTCTGAAGCATCAGTTTCCCCTGAGTCTCTTGAGAGAGCAAAAGCATTAATGTACTTAGGGATGACAGTCACATAGGTTTCTAAGAGTATACCAGACTTCTCTCTGAAAGAAGACTTGGGTTGTCCTCTTTCTGATGAATTCCCAGATTTAACAGAAAGGCTGCCTTCTGCCATGAGGACACATTGATATAAAAGTGTGAGAGGTACTGGCGCTCTTCTTAACACTAACAGACATGTGCGGCTGTATGACTCTAAACCACACGGCGTACAGTTCCTGCCTACTTCATGTTGACTTTTCTACCTCTGCCTGTGGTTTTGGTCTCTGGCAGTTGCTGATTCGTGGCAAAACCCCGGAGCTTGGAGTCAGAAGAATGTGTTTAAGTTCTAGTATTACTTTATCTTTCTCTTTTCTTTCTTTTTTTTTTTTTTTTTGCCATGATATCAATCCCTCTCAGTCACTAAGTGATTGTGACAACACTGTATAAAGTTGTCGGTGGCATTAAGTCAGATGGAGTATAAGAGTATTTTGTAAAAACTGTAAAGTAGGTTGTGATTGTAGGGGTTTGCAGTTCTCATGAGTGTTACTGCTCTTTTTTCCCACAGTTAAAAGAATTTCAACAAAGAAACAGCCCTACTGCTCCATCACTAGCGAGAAGAAGAAAGAAAAGAAACAACCATCGCTGTGAGACAACCACTTCTGATGGTTGCTGTTAGGACCGGCCTTCCCTTCCCCCTACCACAGTCAACTAGAAAAACCCCAACGACAGTGGCAAAGTACTACCATTAATGTTTAGCTAGGTTGCAAGACCCCATCCCCCCCTTCCCTTTTCGCGGCAGGCCTCTAAACCCTCCTTTGTTAGGAGATAGCCAATAAGCCGCAAGAAACTCCGCCTGAGAAAGAGCACGTCCCCTCTCTTGCTCAACGGCAGTGGAAGATTACTGCAGCCTCTTCTACCACAGTATAAAAAGCCTGTCTCCCATTGTCTGCACGCGGCCGATCCACTCTCTACCCCGGGTGTTCGGTCCGCCCGGAGCCCCCCCAATAAAGCCTGAACGCCTAATTTGCCTAGTCTACTCATTTCGGCCGTTCCTGGGGGAACACGAGCAGTAGGGGGTGGTCGGACTTATCGGACAAGTGGTGCCGTAACCGGGAAGAGGGTCGGTTGACCCGCCCTAGGCCTCTGAGGCCGGGCGACGGTCCCCCCTCTCGCCCCTGTCTGCCCATCCACCCCCCCCCATCGGGTCGCCATCGCAAGACTCCAGAGAAGGTAAGACTTTTACTTACCTTCTACCCCTTCTTCTACATAAGGCTAAGGCAACCAGCTTCCCGGCGCCAGTCCACACAGACTCCTCGCCCTAGACTCGGCCGATCCGAGGCAGTCCTCCATCCGACTCTTGGAGTCTTCCGAAGAAGGGAGTAGCCAGACGGGGACGCCTCTCTGACTGCTCACTTCACTAACCTAACCCTAAAGGGAACGCAAGGAGAAGGGACGCCTCCTCCTTGCCTTTTCCCTCCCTGGCGCCGGCTAGCTTTGCAAGCCATGGGGAACTCGGAGTCTAAAATAGACCCTAACACCCCCTTGGGGTGCCTGCTCCGAAATTTCTCAAAGTTAGGCTATTCTCAGACCCTGCGGAGAAAGAAATTAACATTTCTCTCTCAGGTCGCATGGCCCCAATATAATCTTAACAACCAGTCTCATTGGCCACCGACTGGTACTTTCGATTTCAACGTATTACGGGACCTCGATAACTTTTGCCGCCGTACGGGGAAGAACACTGAAGTCCCTTATGTCCAGGCTTTTTGGGACCTCCGCTCCCGTCCCGATCTCTGCTCCTCCTGCTCCACCCACCAGATCCTTCTAGCCCGAACCCCCCAAAAAGTTTCCACCGCAACCGCTGGCCCACCGCCTTATTCACCTCCGGACAAACTCCCCGAACACCTTTCTCCACCCGCTAATCCTGGCAGTCCCCCTCCACCTTCCTCCCCAGATGCCCCCAAGCCCTCCGCCCTAGAAACACCTCCCCCCATGACTTCCCCCGTATCTGCCCACACCAGATCTCATAACTCATCAGTAATAGCACCCCTCAGGGAAGTTGCAGGGACCAAAGGTTTAGTAAGGGTCCATGTCCCCTTTTCACTCCAAGACCTGTCCCAAATCGAGAAACGTTTAGGATCCTTCTCAGCCGACCCGTCCACCTATATTAAAGAATTTCAATTTCTCACCCAGGCATACAGCCTCACATGGCATGACATTCGGGTAGTTTGCATCTCCACCCTCACAGCTGAAGAACACGAGCGCATTCTCGCTGCTGCTCGGCATCAGGCAGATAAAGACCATATTATAGATAACCAGGTGCCCCTTGGAGCTGAAGCTATTCCTAACAAGGATCCCCAGTGGGATTATCAGGCAGGCCCAGGGTCCAACATACCCCACAGAGACCGCATGGTCCAATACCTCCTCAAAGGCATGGATATAGTGTCCAACAAAGTAGTAAACTATGACAAATTAAGAGAAATCACCCAATTACCAGATGAAAACCCTGCCCTCTTTCTAACTCGCTTGCAAGAAGCATTAGTCCGCTACGCCCGCCTTGACCCAGACTCACAAAACGGAGCCACCGTCCTAGCATCACGCTTCATCTCCCAATCAGCCCCTGACATTCGGAAAAAAATAAAAAAAAAAAAAGCAGAAGACGGCCCTGAAATCCCTATACAGGACTTGGTAAAAATGGCTTTTAAAGTCTTTAATGCCAGGGAAGACGCAGCCGAGGCAGCCCGCCAAGCGCGTATGAAACAAAAGGTCACTCTACAGACCCAAGCCCTAGTAGCAGCCCTTCGGCTGGCAGAAAATAACAAGGGTAAAGCAAATACCCGCACCCCTCCCGGAGCGTGTTTCAAATGTGGGAAAGAGGGCCACTGGTCCAAAGCCTGCCCCCAGCCTCGTCCTCCTACAAAGCCCTGCCCAATCTGCCAGCTCATGGGACACTGGAAATCCGATTGTCCAAGCTCCCCCAGGGCCTCAGTTCCTCCAAACTGACGCACTGGGGAGCAGCAAGGCCACGTTTCCGAAAACCAGGCCCCTGCCCATGCCAGTCAGGAGTCAGGTACTCGGGAAAACCTATTCCCAGAGCTACTAGGGTTTATGGACGATTATCGGTGCACTGGCTTCCCAACTCCGGTTACCCTTGCCAAGCCCAGTGTTAAGCTCAGGTAGCGGGTAAGAGTGTCTCTTTTCTATTAAACACGGGGGGCTGCCTACTCCGTACTTCCCTCATATTCAGGCAAAACCACTCCTTTCCAAGTCTCTGTCATGGGCATTGATGGGTCCCCCTCCACTCCTCACCAAACTCCTCCCTTAACCTGTCTGCTTGGCCCTTCCATTTTTACTCACTCCTTTCTAGTCATTCCCTCTTGCCCTATACCTCTCCTAGAACGAGATATCCTAGTAAAACTGCAAGCTACCATTACTTTTCCACACACAGAAACTTTCCTCTTACCCCTCATCGCCAGCTCACCTTCCCCCGCTCCTCCGGCCGAACTCCTCTCCGATGTAAATCCCGAAGTATGGGATACTGATACCCCCACTGTAACCTTGCACCACCAACCCATACTCATACTCCTGAAAGACCCCACAGCCTTCCCTTCTCGCCCTCAGTTTCCTATTTCCAAAATTCACCGCCTCGGCCTCCTCCCTATCATAAATAAGCTGAAGGCTCAAGGACTACTCATTCCTGCAAACTCCCCCTGCAACACTCCCATTCTGCCTGTGAAAAAAACCCTCAGGTCAGTACCGCCTGGTCCAAGACCTCCGCCTTATCAATGCAGCAGTCATTCCCGTTCATCCAGTAGTGCCTAACCCCTACACAATCCTTTCCCACATTCCCCCTACAACCACCCACTTCTCAGTTCTAGACCTCAAAGATGCCTTCTTCACCATTCCCCTGCACCCAGATTCCTATTTCCTTTTTGCTTACCAAAAGCCCTGTTTCACTTTCTCACCCCTCTCTTCCATCCTCAGGGCCTCCTTTCCACAATAAAAGAAATCCACTCTAATTGTATAACCTGCACTAAAACCAATAGTCAGGGAGCCTGTCACCCACGTTGTTCGATCCACCAGTTACGCGGCCACCTACCAGCCCAAGATTGGCAAGTTGATTTTACACATATGCCAAAACACAAACAGTTTAAATACCTACTAACCCTGGTTGACACCTTTTCAGGCTGGATCAAAGCTTTCCCCACAGCTTCTGAAACCGCAGGAGTTATAGCCGAGCACCTCGTCCGGGACATCATTCCCCGATTCAGCCTTCCTTCCACCATCCAGTCAGACAACGGACCTGCCTTTGTTTCTAAGATCACCGCTGCAGTTTTCACATCCCTAGGGATCCAGTGGAAACTGCATGCGGCCTACCATCCCCAATCCTCTGGTAAAGTAGAACGGGTCAACGGCCTCATCAAAGAACACCTAACAAAACTTGCCCTCGAACTCCGCCAGTCCTGGGTTACCCTACTTCCTATCGCTTTAACAAGGCTCCGAGCAAGCCCCCAGGGCCCTTCACAACTCAGCCCTTTTGAGCTGCCATACGGATGGCCCTTCTTACTCTCCTCCCCCCTACCACCAGACACCCCCCTTCTACCTACCTACCTGCCCTATTTCACCCTCCTCCGAGCACTTCTCCCAGAACATGCAAATACCGCCCGACTCCTCTTCTGACCAAATACCGAAAGTTTCCCCAGGAGACCTGGTCTTTATAAAGTCACTCTCTCCAAAGCCATTAACTCCCAGGTGGGAAGGCCCATACACAGTTATCCTCACCACCCCCTCAGCAGTAAAAGTCGCCGAAATCTCCTCGTGGGTATACCTAACCAGAGTAAAAAGAGCACGTCATGTGCCTCCCAAACCCTCCTGGAATGTTACCTCTACTGGTCCTCTATCTCTTAAGCTTACCAGAACCCCACAACACCTCCAGTAACCCTCTTATATGGAGATTCTACCTAACTGAAAATTACACAAAAACCACACACATTTGCAACACCCCTCCCTACAGCCACAACCACCTCCTCGCCACTTTTGACTGCCCTCCTACAGGGTGCAATTCACCCATCTTTCTAAACTTCACCAATTTCAACATAGACCGAGCCTCGTACATCTTCATGGATTATAATCCTGCCTTCTGTTTTCTTTATGATCAGGAAGGCGCCTGCAAAACATCTTCCTACCTAAATTGCATGGGATGTACCTGGTCTAGTTGCACCATACACCCGAGTCTCCCCAACAGAAACCACAGGAACTCCAAACTAAAATACCACCGCACCCCCAACTCCCTCGGCTATCCCTATCTCTCTCTCCAAATCCCTGACCCTTCGAACTCCCGCTGGACCACACTCCAAAAAGCAGCAGTATACGATACAGTCTCCACCGGGTACCCCTCCTCCCACCTCTATATCTGGAAAACCTTAATAGCTCTAGCACCTAACCTTAAAAAAATTCACTCCTCCATTCACACCCAAGAACAAGCGCTAACCCAACAACTTCAGCCATCCTCCCAGCCTTTCTCATGGCTAACCCTCCTTAATGAAGGCCTAAAAATAACTAACCAGCTTGCCAACCGAACGAGTCTACCAAACCTATCTTCATGCCTCATGTGCGCCACCCTAGGACAAACCCCTTTAGTCGCAGTTCCATCTAACACTCACGCCAACTCCTCTATACCGCCTTCCCAGGCTACTCCCATAGCAGATGTAGAAGTCTCTCTACCCCCAAACCAGCAAATACCAGTCTGCTATGGGAACAGCTCCCCCACCTGCAACCGAACTATACCCATAACCACCAATCTCACCACTCCTCATAGAACCTTTTTATGGTGCAACAGAACACTTTTCAAAACCCTCAACTCCTCTACACACTCCCCCAGCCTATGCTTACCAGTAACCCTTGTGCCCCGATTAACTATTTAGTCCCCAGCAGAGTTCCAACAACAATTCATACATCATCGTGTACGACAGGCCGCCTTTTTACCTCTAGCAGTAGGTCTCTCTCTCGCCGGATCAGCCCTAGGAGCTGGACTAGGGGGAGGAGCCCTAGCCCACTCCCATCAGGCTCTAGCACATCTAACTTCTCAGTTTCAGGCCGCCATTGACAATTCTGCAGAATCTTTAGCCTCTCTCCAAAGACAGATCACCTCAGTGGCACAGGTCGCCCCACAAAATCGTCGGGCATTAGACCGCTCGGCGGTGAGGAACCTGCATCTTCCTACAAGAAGAATGCTGCTACTACATCAATGAATCCGGCCTAGTAGAAACCCGGATTGAAAACCTACAGAAGATCAGCACAGACCTGCGCCGACAAAAGTTCTCAACTGAAGCCACCACTTGGTGGACTTCCTCTATGTACACCCTCTTAACTCCTCTATTAGGCCCAGTTATTGCAATTGGATTAATTTTACTAATTGCTCCTTGTTTCTTACAGTTCCTTCAACGCTGCTTCCAAGAACTAACCCGCACCGCAGTGAACCAGATGCTCCTACAACCCCTCATCCCAGGAGAAGCCGAAACTAACATAACCTAACTCTTTATAACTCCTCCCTACAACGCCCCACACCAGCAGGAAGAAGCTAAGATAGACAACTACGCCCAAATTCCACAATAAAGAGTGAGGAATGTTAGGACCGGCCTTCCCTTCTCCCTACCACAGCCAACTGGAAAAACCCCAACGACAGTGGCAAAGTACTACCATTAATGTTTAGCTAGGTTGCAAGACCCCATCCCCCCCTTCCCTTTTCGCGGCAGGCCTCTAAACCCTCCTTTGTTAGGAGATAGCCGATAAGCCGCAAGAAACTCCGCCTGAGAAAGAGCACGTCCCCTCTCTTGCTCAACGGCAGTGGAAGATTACTGCAGCCTCTTCTACCACAGTATAAAAAGCCTGTCTCCCATTGTTTCTACCACAGTATAAAAAGCCTGTCTCCCATTGTCTGCACGCGGCCGATCTACTCTCTACCCCGGGTGTTCGGTCCGCCCGGAGCCCCCCCAATAAAGCCTGAACGCCTAATTCGCCTAGTCTTCTCATTTCGGCTGTTCCTGGGGGAACACGAGCAGTAGGGGGTGGTCAGACTTATCGGACAGTTGCCAGTCACCACGCCAGGTGAGTCTTGGCTGGCCAGGCTTCTGGGGAAAAGGGGCCCAAGGGGCAGTAGAGGGTAATTATTAAGATTGTGGAAGAACTTCTGGGCCCTGGTTAAGAATTCTGGGTTTGAATCCTGCCTCTCCATCTGCTAGGGATATGATTTAGGGCAAGTTCCTTGAGCTTTTTGGGCCTCTCCTTTCACATCTGTAAAATAGAGGTGATATTGTCTGACTTCCATTTGTGAAGGTGAAAGGAAATTCATTATTGCTGTTTTTTTGTTAATCCCTAGTACATGGCCTGCTGTAAACACCCAGGACACCCAGGAAATGGTCCTTGCTGTTTGGTTTTCCTCATCCCCAGTCTCAAGGGGAAGCCAGCCCGATGAGAACAGCCATTTGCTGTCAGGCTGTCCCTTTAAGAGTCACTGAGAGGGCCCCAGGGTGGGATGGTGGGAGATAAGAACCATGAGAGGAGCTGGCACAAAGGAGTTATGGGACAAAGGGTCTGAGGGAGGCAGAACAGAAAATGCTGCCAGCTGATGGGAAGAAAGGAAGTCAGAGGCTTGGACACTGAGGGAGACAGAACACCTCCATGTGCACTCTCATCTCTTGTAGTCAACAGCAGGTATTCACAAGGAGGGCCCTGCGCCATGTGCCACCTTGAAAGATCCAGAGGTAAGAGGCCCTGAGCTGAGGTACGGTGACCCTGCAGGCGAGCCCTCCACCCTCCTCCCACAGCGACGACTGGGTGCCCCTCTGCCAGCCAAGACAGCCCTCACACACCCCAATCCTAATGATTGTTCTCTCTACCTCTCCTCCAATCCTCCTCCCACTCCTCCTCTCCGCATGCGCCTCAGAGCGCACACCAACTACAAATAGCCCTGGACTTGAGCTCCATCACAACCAGTGAACTGAATAACACCATTGACTTATTGGTAAGAGTCCAGTGGGGTCCCCTGATTCCATGCTGCCAATCCTAGGCTCCAGTTTCCCCTTGGGGCTGCTGTGGGTGAACTGAAGGGCGCTATGGGGAGCCAGCACTGGACGCAGAGTTTGGAGGCCAAATGCCCGCCCTGCCCTTACCAGGCTATGGCCTTGGCCAAGTCCTAGGTGGGGGACTGGGCACTTGGACTGTGAAGGTACAGAAGACTAGCTTTAGTATGTTACTATTTGTGTAGAGAGAGGAAATGTGTGTGTGTGTGTGTGTGTGTGTGTATGCACTATGATAATATACATAAAACATGTCTGCAAGGATTTGTAAAAAAACCTCAGGAGAGAGCACAGGTGGCTGGGAGATACTTCCCTTCTGTACCTTCTAAGTTTTGGACTATGTGAATGTATTATCCTTTCAAAAAGTGAGCAAAAGATTCATTTCCCCCTTCCTGTCTGTGCCCCCACACCCAACAGAAAAAAAAATGGACTAAGAGAATCAGATGGACCTGGGTGTTCAAATCCCAGCTCTGTCTAAGTGATCTTAGGCAGCCACCTAACCTCTAATACTCCATGTTTTCCATCTACATAATAGAGGTAATGGTAGTAACTGCCTCACATGGTGGTTGTGAGGTTAAATGGTATTGTTCGCACGCTACCTGGTGACGCGCTCAATAAAGGTCCCAACAGAGGTAGTAATGACAGGAATAACAATAGAATATGATCTGATCTCTCTCAGCCTCTGTTAGCCAGCTGTAATTGTGACCTTCCAACTGTGCCTTTCAACTTTACTGAGTTCTTTTAAAATCCAGACCACGGGATTGGAAGTGACTTGATCTTTACTGACCTAGTTGTGTATTAAGCCGAGCCCTAGCACTTTTAAGGGGCACTGTGTGGAATGGCCCAGGCTCTCCGGATTGAAGCTTCTCACTCTTCACCATCCAGCCCTCGAGCCGCCGTGAAGCAGTCCTTGAGCAGCAGTTACAGCAGTTTCTACAGGAGCGGGAACTGCTAAAAGCACAGGTGGCAGAGGTGAGACTTTGCAGAGGGAGAGATGTGGTAGGAAGATGACCCCAGGTGGCCAGGAGCAGGTGAGGACCAGTGACAGCCCTTCCTAACTTCTGGGTCCATTCTTGCAGGTGACGGAGTGTCTTAAGAAAGCTCAGCTAGAAAGAGACGCATACGCTCAACAACTCAAAACAGAGAGGAGAGAGGACGCGGTGGCAGCACAAAATGCTCCAAATGGTAGGAGAAGTGAGAGCTGATCCTTCAGCCCCCCACCTTAGATAGGTCACTGGATCTTTCTGGGCATCTGTAAAATGAGAATAGTCCAGCCAGGGGTGGTCACAGGACTGGGCTGTGTGGAGCTGGGGGCAGAGGGGGAGATGGTAGCCTGTCGAGCCACCAGCCCCTTTCTCCAGGGCCCTTTTTCCCTTTGCTTTGGGCAGACTGAAATATTCAAAATGGAGAAAAGCCAAGACGCAGTGAAAATCGAGAAGCTGAAGGGGAGCCTTGCCCACTACAAAGCCATCTGGGTAAGATGGGACTGGCATGACCCAGGAGCAGGACTGGCATCAGAGGGCTGTGGGGGTGGCTTAGAGTGCCCCAGGGAGGTGGGTGGCTGGAAGGGCGTTGAAGCAGAGGGAGAGAGGCCTGTGCTGGGAGACGGCAAGTCTTGTCATCTCCATGAGCCTCAGTGTCCCCATCAGAAAGAGGGAGGGTGCCTGTCATCAGCCACCCACAGTGCTCTCTATCTGAAAGTGGCTTGGAAGACTGGCTACCATTTGGGTGTGAGGAATCATTAGAGTGAGGCCAGGTTCGGGGAGCTTGTACAGCTGGAAGAGTGTTTTTGGTTGTTTTTGTTTTTTTGAGAATCCAGAGGCCCTTATTGTCTGCTTTCTTTCTCAGCTGACCCCCCGAAGCACCCAGCAGGGCCCTCTGACTTGGAGAAAAACCTAAAAACCGAAACCAAGTACCTGAGAGATGAGCCGCGGGAACAGCAGAGACGGCAGGAGGCAAAAATGAGGCTCTGGGAGCAGGAGGTGAGGCTGTGAGAGAACAGGAGGAGAGGCTTCTTGAACAGGAGGGGCTCCAGGAGCAGGAGGCGGAGCTGGTTTGTTGCCCACCTGGGGAGGCTGCCCTCCTCCCCAGCCCTCCAGGCCTTTGTTTTCCCACCCGTAAAATGTGAGAGTGTAGACCTCCCGTGAAATGGGCATTCTAAAGGCACCTGTGAGCCAGAACCCTGCTCCGATGGCTGTGGGAGAAATGAGACAATTTTTCTAACCTGTCTCCACCCTTCCTGGTGCCATGGGAGGCAGACACCAAGTTCTTGGCTCTCCAGCTGCAGTGGGTGGCTACTAAATGCTTCTCTCTGTCCAGAAGAACAAGGACAGGAGCGCACCGCACTTGGAGCAGGAAGGAAAGGAGCTGCAGGAGAAGCTTGACGCACAGGACAGTAACCTCTGCCCCATCCAGGAGGTCTGGGAGGCAGGCACTGGCCTCTTGGGAGGGGAGGTGCAAGGCCACAGGCAGCTCCACCCTGGGGGCAGGGGACCCCAGCACCCTCCAGGGCAGTCCTGTGACCATTTCTTGCTTCCTGCCCTCTGACTTTTAGAGGCAGGCAGCCCTGGGCTCCTCCCAGGTCTGGACATCATCATTCCAGCTGGAGGCATGGAGCCCCCCAGTCATAGGGCAAGAGACAGTGGTGTGAGAGGCTGTTTATGCTGGGTGCGGTGGCTCACACCTGTAATCCCAGCACTTTGGGAGGCTGAGGCAGGGCTTTGAGATCAGCCTGGCCAACATGGTGAAACCTCATCTCTACTAAAATTACAATAACAACCACAAAAACAACAAAGCTGGGTGTGGTGGAGCACACCAGTAATCCCAGCTACTCGGGGCTGAGGCATGAGCATCGCTTGAGTCCGGAGGTGGAGGTTGCAGTGAACTGAGTTTGCACCATGACTCTCCAGCCTGGGCCACAGAGTAACACACTGTCTCAAACCAAAACAAACCAAAACAAAACATAACAAAACGGAAGTCTCCTTAGATCCAAACTGGATTCTGGGCTTGATTCCACTGGTCACCATTCGACTACTTTGCATCTCTCTTTTTTAAAAAAAAAACAAAAACGGACTTTCGCTCTTGTTACCCAGGCTGGAGTGCAATGGTGCGATCTCGGCTCTCCGCAACCTCTGCCTCCTGGGTTCAGGCAATTCTCCTGCCTCAGCCTCCCGAGTAGCTGGGATTACAGGCACGCGCCACCATGCCCAGCTAATTTTTTGTATTTTTAGTAGAGACGGGGTTTCGCCATGTTGACCAGCATGGTCTCGATCTCTTGACCTCGTGATCCACCCACCTCGGCCTCTCAAAGTGCTGGGATTACAGGCTTGAGCCACCGCACCCAGCCTACTTTGCATCTCTAAGTCTCTGTTTCTTTAACTTCCAAAGGAAGTTAGCATTTTCCTTGTGTGGGTGCTGAGGATTAAATGAGATGATATGTGGAAAGCATTAAGCATGTAGCACACTTGGCAGATGGTGGTTGGCTCCCTCTGCTTTTTCAGCAGTCTGTGGCCTAGAGTTTAAATGGTGGGAAGAAAGATGTGAGATTTGAGGCTGGGGAAGGAGGCATGGGGGTCTAGGCAAGGGAGGCCGTCTCTTAGGCTGGAGCCAGGGGCCAGGAGCCTGGGCAGGCCACCTTCCTCTGTGGTCCCTCCCAGCCCCCCTCATGCTCTTGGTTTCCCCACCTTCTGATTCCTCTGGACCCTCACCCTTCCCGGAGCTGGTGGTCAGACACCTTCGTGACCGACAGGTGCACTCTCTGAGGCCCCAAGGGAAGGGGCTGCACTCCATCTCTCTGCCCCGCCTGTCCTGTGTATGCCTCTACAAGAATGCTTACCTCTTGCCTTCAGGTGCCATTTCTGAATGATGCTGGAGCCGGTGCCCAGGAGGAGTAGGCACGTCTCCGTGAGCAGCTGCAGAAACAACAGGTGTGCTGCCGGCACCAGGCTCACCCAGTGGCCTCGGCCCTGAAGGAGCCAGAGGTAGCAGCCGTGGCCACAGGGACTGGGAGCAAGTGTGGGTGTGGGGAGACACAGCGGGCCCTCAGGGAGCCCTCGACAAGCTGCAGGTGAGTGAGTCCTGGCAGGGTCCAAGAAGGGTGGGGGTGGGGCAGGTCGCTGCTGAGATGTGACCCCATTATTTCGGCTCCAGAGAGACTTCATGGACATTGCTAAGGAGAATGCGGACCTGAAAAAGCAGGTGGAAAAACTAGAACTCAGATTCATTCCGCTCTCTGGAGAGAGAGACATGATAAGTGAGCAGGAGGCCAAGCAGGGCAGTGGGAGCTGCAGGGTGGTGGGAGGGGCCCCAGTGTCTGAGCCTGTCCTCCCACAGGAAAGTCCATCAAACCAAATGACCGTCAGAGGGCAGTGGCCAAGACCCAGCACCAGAAGAACGATGTTAGCGTGCTGTCCCAGGCCGAGGAGGGGATGAAGGTAAGGTGTACAACATCTCTGCAGGGGTGAGGGGGATAAGGGTGGGCATGAGCATGGGTGCTGGCACCGGCGTGGCAGCTGAGCACCCCTATCTCCAGGTGAAGCTGCTGGAGCCACAGGGGCCAGTGATGCAGCTTATGATCAACCACGAGGTCCAGCACCCTGCTAATGAGTCTACTCCAGGGGCCCCAGCCCCCCAGGAGCTTGGTGCTGCTGACAAGGATGGTGAGTAGAGCCCTCAGGCGGGGTGGGCAGGCAGGAGCAGGGGAGGCTGGCGCTGCACTCATATCCCTGCCTCCCTCTCTCCAAAGAACTTTGTGAGGTGATCCTCGCTGACAGCCTGCAGCCTGCAGGAGGGAGGGTACACCACAACTCCACTGCACAGCAGATGGCACATGGCTTTGTGAGCTGCAGGACAGCCAGCAACACCGACCCTTGGGCAGCAGTCCCTCCACGCCATGCTTTTACCGGGCTGTGGGCGAAGGAGCGGGTAAACATCACCGTCGGCTAAGAGCTGGCCAAGAAATTTACAAAAGAACAAAGTTATAAGGTTAGTCTTCTACACGTTTACTTCATTTGAATGTTAGTGCCACTCATGATGATTTGTGTTTCTAATTTATAGTTTATTTGTAGAAAGTTAAAGGAGAGTTGGTCTTCGTGTGGCTTTCACTGATGTTCACTCTGGCATCCTTTAGCATTTTCATTTTTAATTTGATAATCGTAGGTCATTAGCATGCCTATTCAGTTTGTCCTTACGTGGTGGGAGTTCAAACACACAAAGACCCACTATTGGCACAAAACGATTCTTGCTTGTTTGTAATAGGCTGCCATAGTTTTTTATGTTATTGCAGCATGTATATTCATTACAGAATTCAGATGCACTTTCCTCATGTTCTGCTATAATATTCGATTGAATCCTAGGTTACAGCGAGCTCTTAATTAGCTCAATATGTGCTTTGCCCCGATGTGCACACTGTGTATTACTTTGTACGATGCCACTACGAGTACTGACATTTAGAGTTGTTGAAAGGCTGAGAACTGGAAACAGCCTTTCTTCCATGTTCTGTGTATTGCAAATAGGAGTAATAACATTTTGGGGAGCGTTTAAAATCTCACAGAAGAGGAAAGTGGCCTGCTCTGGCAGTCATGTGCAGAATAGAGTAGTTCATTGGTTCCCGTGCCAAGAATGAGTGCTGTGCTGTGGTAGTTCTTTTAGGGTCTTTCTGTGCTCTGGGCTCATGAAGATACTGCATCATGAGCTGCAGCAGCTGTGCTCTTTTTTACGACCTAAAAAGAGATGATTTCTGAGGAATAAAAGGCTCCCATCTTTGATGGTGGATGTGGAAAATCTTTCCTAGCTTAGAGCATTTATATCTATAATACATTGTAAAGTCAGAGTTCATGTTACCTGTTTTAATCACCTGACTCCAAGTCTCAGTACACAAAAGGGCACTGGTTGGCATTCTTCTTAATGTATTTAGTAAAGGTCATGAGAAATCCTTTAAGATAAAGTGTCATTTATATATATACATATATAGAGAGAGAGAAAGAAAGAGAGAAATGGAAATTTGTATCTTAGAATGGATAGCCACTAAATATTGATGACTGGACCTGCGCTGCAGGTGCCGGGGCTTCGACCTTGCGGAGCCGGCGGCCATCGATCCTCAGAGCTTACTCACATGGCATTCTGGTATAGCAACATGAAATGCAAGGAACCAAAAGTAACATAATTGAAGGCAGTAAACCAGAAATTAAATAGAAAGATCATCAGTCAAGGAAGACCTACTGGAAAGGTCTTGCTCTGTCACGCAGGCTGTGTTCAGTGGCACAATCAGGGCTCCCTGCAGCCTTGACCTACCAGGCTCAAGCAGTCCTCCCACCTCAGCCTCTCAAGCGGCTGGAACCACCGGTGTGCATCACCATGCCCAGGGCTGGAAAATAAAGGAAGCGGTGTTTTATGTGTATTCCAGCAGGTCTTCTTGAAATTTAACTGAAAATATGACTGCTCTCTCTTCAGAGAACTGCTCTTTTCAGTACCAGTTACATCAAACAAACCAGCCCCTAGATGTTAACTGTCTGCTATTCTTGATCATACTTGGGAAAATATTATTAAATATTCTCACACTAGTAATGAGAAGAAAAAACACCTGTCGAAATTTTATGGAATATTTTTGCATTTCACTAGCATTCGCTGATCTTTTACTTTTGGTAAACATTTCCATTTTATTGTATTTCAGGGACTTCGTACTTTTAAGCATTAGATTTACTAAATACCACATCTGCCTGTTTACTGAAATTATTTCCTTAACTTATGGCTTTTTGCATTATCCAGTTTTCCTGATAGCTTGTATAGATTATTGCCTGAATTTCTCTAAAACAACCAAGCTTTCATTTAAGTGGCAAAAGTTGTTTTATTTCTTTACAGTAGTTTTAATTTGGATTTCAGTCCTTGCTTATGTTTTGGGAGATCCAGCCATCTACCAAAGCCTGAAGCCACAGAATGCTTATTCTCATCACTGTCCTTTCTATGTCAGCATTCAGAGTTACTGGGTATCGTTTTTCATGGTGGTGATTTTATGTGTAGCTTTCATAACCGCTGGGGAAGAAGTAACTACTTTGGTACAGGCTGTTAAGATAACTTCCTATATGAATGAAACTATCTTATATTTTCCTTTTTCATCCCACTCCAGTTATACTGTGGGATATAAAAAAGAATTCTTATCCAAAAAAAAAAATATTGATGACTGAACAGTTAATGTTTTGGGACACTTGGTATAATGCCTTGCACACAGAAAGAGACAACGGATGAGATTATCCTTTTGTATCATTTCACAGTTTTAAAAATTGCTATTGACGAGAACGATCCAAGATGGCCGATCGCTAACATCCCGGGATTGCAGCTCTCAGGGAAGGCGCGGAGAACTAGAGGACGCCACACTTTCAGACAAAGTCTGGTCGCTCACGGAGCAGAAGATCCCCCAGTGGTGGAAACACACGGGTCGCCAGCGCGACTCTCGTGGTCGGCACAGCGGTTCCGCAGGCACCTCGGCGCGGCAGCTCTCGGAGCAGAGTAAACGGGACCGCTTCCCCTTCTGACCGAGGTTTGGAGCCCCGGGAAGGTAGAGTCGCCTACTACGGAAACAAGAAGGAAGCCCGACAGGAGAATCCTGGGCAGAAAAGCACCATCAGTTTTAACGCCGCTGCTCTGGCCCTGGGAACTAACAACCTGGACGTCCACTCAAGAGACCTAATCTGAAAGTTGGTAATTTCAAAGACGAGAGGAGGATAAATTTACAATGACGGGAAGAAACCAGCGTAAAAAAGCTGAGAATACTCAAAGTCAGAACGCCTCTCCCTCTAAAGATGATCACAGTTCCACATCAACAATGGAACAAGGCTTGATGGAGAACGAGCGCCTCCTGATGACAGAATCACTCTTCAAGGAATGGATAATAACAAACTTCGGTGAGTTAAAAGAACATGTTGTAGCCCAACGTAAAGAAACTAGGAACTTTGACAAAAGGCTTGATGAAATCCTATTGAGAATAGACAACTTAGAGAGGAGTATGAGTGAATTAATGGAACTGAAGAATACAATACAGGAACTCCGAGAAGTATGCACAGGTTTAAACACTCGAATTGTTCAAGCAGAAGAAGGGATATCAGAGGTCAAAGTCCAACTTAATGAAATAAAACGTGAAGAAAAGATTAGAGAAAAAAGGATAAAAAGGAATGAGCAAAGTCTCCAAGAAATGTGGGACTATATGAAAAGACCAAATTTACGTTTGATAGGTGTACCTGAATGCAACGGAGAGAATGAATCCAAGCTGGAAAATACCCTTCAGGATATTATTCAGGAAAATTTTCCTAAACTAGCAAAGCAGGTCAACATTCAACCCCAGGTAATACAGAGAACACCACAAAGATATTCCTCAAGAAGAGCAACCCCAAGGCACATAATCGTTAGATTCACTAGGGTTGAAACGAAGGAGAGGATACTAAGGGCAGCCAGAGAGAAAGGTCGGATAACCCACAAAGGCAAGCCTATCAGACTTACAGCAGATCTCTCGGCAGAAACTCTACAGGCCAGAAGAGAGTGGGGGCCAATATTCAACATCCTCAAAGAACAGAACCTTCAGCCCAGAATTTCATATCCAGCCAAACTAAGCTTCACAACTGAAGGAAAAATAAAATCTTTTATGAACAAGCAAGAACTCAGAGATTTTATTACCACCAGGCCTGCTTTACAAGAGCTTCTGAAAGAAGCATTACACACAGAAAGAAACAACCAGTATTAGCCTTTCTAAAAATACACCAAAAAGTAAGAGCACCAACATAAAGAAGAATTTACACCAACACATGGATAAAACAGCCAGTCAACATCAAATGGCAGTAACCCTAAATTTAAATTGACTAAATTCCCAATCAAAAGACACAGCCAAAACCCAACGGCATGTTACATCCAGACCTGTTTCACATGCAAGGATACACAAAGACTCAAAACAAAGGGATGGAGAAAGATTTACCAACCAAATGGAGAGCAAAAATAAATAATAAATAAATAAAAAGCAGGAGTTGCAATTCTTGTATCGGATAAAATAGATTTTAAAGCAACAAAGATATAGTGGTAAAAGGATCAATGCAACAACAAGAGCTAACGATCCTAACACCCAGATAGGAGACTTAGATTCAATGAGACAGAAAATTAATAAGGATATCAAGGACTCGAACTCAGATCCAGAACAAGTAAACTTAATAAATATTTATAGAGCTCTCCACTTCAAATACACAAAATATACATTCTTGTCAATACCACATCACACCTACCCATTAGTTTAAATGAAACATTGATTGGCCATTATTAATACCCAATTTTTTTCAAAATAAAGCAATATTTCCATTTACTCTCCCTCTTTCTCTTCCTCTTTCTTCCTCTCCTTTACTTATTTTTTTTTTCTTTCCTTCTCTCAAAAAAAAAGAAATCAACTTGTAAACCTCTAGATCCAGGTCGGCAATGTCTCTTTCATTGCTTAGTTTCCTTTCTTCCCTTCCCTCCCTCCCTCCCTCCCTCCCTGCTTCCTCCCTTCCTTCCTTCCTTCATCCCTTCCTTCCTCCCTACCGTCCTTCTTCCCTTCCTTCCTTCCTCCCCCCCAAAAAAAAAAAAAAAAAGAAAAAAAAAATTGCTATTGATTACAGTTCACATAGCAAGTTGCTGATAAAATGTCCGTTTTTATAAAACATCTCCAACAACAACAAAATCCTTTAAGAGTTCAAATGTCCAGAAAAAAAAATAAAAATTTTAATAAAAAATTTTTAAAAGTTTAAATGTTCCTAGAACAGGCATACAGGTTGTAGTCAAGAATGAACTAGAGTGCAGGAAAGCCGTGTGACACCTGGCATCCCTCTGTGTTCATGGAGCTTCTTTGAGGCTAGATTGATTTGATCATCCAGACTTCTCTGGCTAATACCTATTCCTCAACCACCTTGGTTACTCTGACATAGGAATTGCCTTCTTTTTCTTCAATAAAAAGGACTTTAAACAATAATTACAAACAAAAAATAATAATCACAAACATTATTATAAACTAATACATGTGAGAGTACTTGGCTGAAAAAAAAAGTTTCAGTAGACAGAATTGTACTATATTTGCAAATCAAAGAGAAGTTTATGCAACTTAAAATGTTTATAGCCTGCAGTGCCATCTACTGTTTGTGAATGTCAACGTATTATCAGGAAAAGTGTCTAACAATCAGAGTTCTATTTCCTCACCAAGTTCTTTACCAAGAGTGAAATATGCTTTTCTACCTTTCGGTTTCAGTTAGTGGCATATTTTGTGCAAGATTTATGTTAATGTGTCTCTACATTATGAATGAATTCTTTCAGTCAGACATTGCCTAAATCATAACTTTATGATGCTTGGGAAAGACTCAACAGTTGAAACTTAATGAAGTTCTAATGTCTGTGTGCCAAGATACATCCCATTGTTAGGATGGAGGGAGATATCCATGTGTGCTCCCTGAAGGGGAGATTCCTAGTTACTGACCATCTCCACGTTTAGCCTTTGGCATCCTCATGATACTTTCATAAATAAGACATTAATAGGAGAGCACTAATACAATTTTACAGATGGAATAACACATTTTCCTGCATTCCCTGAAAGAGTGCAAACGTTGGGTCCTGGTGACTTGAACTGACTCTTCCAAATTGTAGTTAGTTATCAATGTATCAGATAAACCCAGTTTCAGATCGAGCAAGGAAAATTGTTAGACCGAATAATGCGGCTAATTAACAGTGGTACGATTTCCAGCCGGGGGTTTAAAATGAACTTAAAGTTCTGTTCTTGTGTTTTATTTCTGAACTTGCCACTTTTGCATTCTTTTTTTTTTTTTTTTTTTGAGACGGAGTTTCGTTCTTGTTTCCCAGGCTGGAGTGCAATGGCGCAATCTCGGCTCACCGCAACCTCCGCCCCCTGGGTTCAGGCAATTCTCCTGACTCAGCCTCCTGAGTAGCTGGGATTACAGGCACGCGCCACCGTGCCCAGCTAATTTTTTGTAATTTTTAGTAGAGACGGGGTTTCAACATGTTGACCTCGTGATCCACCCGCCTCGGCCTCCCAAAGTGCTGGGATTATAGGCTTGAGCCACCGCGCCCGGCCTTTTGCATTCTTTGAGTTCAGTTTAAAGACAGTTACTCTAAGTCCATTTTCAGCCCTCGGGCTAGAAATCGTACCACTGTTAATCAGCCACATTATTTGGTCTAACAGTTTTTCATAATCATTCTGAAACTGGGTTTATCTAATATATTGACAAATTATTTCAAAGGGATTTTGGTAGTTCAAATCACTTCACTTTTACCCAAAGAAATACAAATGACTAGGAACTACCTTCAGATAGTGTTTAGCATCTGTACCCAATATGACAACAATGTGTTCATCAGGTACCTGTGGAGTAAATCACATACAGGCATGTTTAAGCTGAATGGCAGTCTGGAAAATACGTTTACTATATTGACCGAAATACCACTCTGTGTAGGTATTTTGTCATCTATTTAATAAAAATCTAAAAGAATGGATATCATATGACAGTGACTTAAGTCTTTCTTCAAAGTATATGCAACTCTTTTGCAGTACTTTGTTCAGCCAAGTATCTGTTCTCTTCCTCATTCAGTAGAAGGCAGCTTTCAATTTGCTTAAAAGGCAACATTAGAAGGTTAGCACTCATCAAAAACATAGAATTTTATTTTTTTATATTTGTGTATGTTTATTTTAGAGAACTGAGACTTCACAGACTTTAACAGCAAATAATGTTAAAATAAATTTACTTCTGTACATTAGCTCCAATTATCTCTATTTTACAATCTATAAGGCTCATGCCATAGTTCAGCACCAACAAGATCCACACAAACCTGTTTAAGCTTTCTTATCCATCCTGTGTGATAGTTTCTGTTTGCTTTTATTGTTTTTTAAGGTAAAAGTCCGACTTTCAGACCTTGAAGTGGAATCCTTCTAGTCAGACTATGAAACTTGGGGTGTACCTTCTTATTTTCATTGAACAGATACCAAAAAAAAAAAAAAAAAAAAGGAAAAGAATTGTGTTTCACCATTAATTTAGGTTGTCCGTCTATCCGTTGAATTTATAACACTGAATATTATTCGTCCTGCCTCTATTCGTCCCCTCCATTTTAAATTTTTAAAAAGGCAACCAGAATCATGTCTCATTTATTCTTTAAAATAAGGTGCGAAGAAGTGTTACAACAACAAACTTCCTCATCCACACATCCAATAACATCTCCCTATTTAGCATAATCTACCATGAACTGATTCAGGGGCTCACCTAGAGCTGCATTTG